TCCATCGCTAATTAACGGTAGCAAGAGGGCTTCTGAAGAGACGACCGCCGTTTTGAACCCTCACGTCAACACTTTAAAGATCCTAACGACAAACCATTCAAAAGTCGAATGGTCATCAGACCAGACCTAGATGTGGTAAATTTAACCAACCTTGACAGCGGTTTCGTTCTTCTGGCACTTCACAACCGATTTCCTGGACTCAACGTCGTCTCTGGTGGAAGAACTAAAGATGATCTCGACGCTGGGAACGGTTCGGCTCGGCTTCGGGTGGGAAACGACCGCCGAACAGCTGCTGATACAACTGTAATGCAGCGAAAGCATGATCCGCTGCTCACCGTCTTCGCGTCTCACGAAATACACGTGATTCGTACAAAATACACAACAGAGGTAACTCTTGCCGTGCTCGAGAATCAATTCCATGTCAAGGCACCTGAAAGAAAATCAACCGTCATTTTTTACAAAGGTGAAAGTGCTATGCAGAGGTACGATAGAGCAATAATAATAATCTCCTGTCATTTCCTCGGATTCTCATGGCATTATCGCGTTGCTGCTAGTAGCTAATTGGATGATCAAAGCAGGCCATAGCTAAATGGTACCTCAGTGCCTGCAGTGTATGAGAGCAAAACACTGCGTCGAATAAAAATATGTTCGAATACCAACGAATATGCCATGATACGTAGGCATGTATAATAAAAAAGATCAACAATTTGTTTTATAAATAATAGAACATGGTGCAGCCAAAGGAGCCGATTAACAAATGGGTGACATAACACTGTACGAAGCAGTTAAACGGAAAATAGGAATACATCAGCATCGTCCACATACACAAGCATAACGCAAAACGACCATCAGCGTGAGGCGTATATGCTATCCATGTCTTCGGTGAAGCAACGATCTTCGCTCAAATCAATTTTGGAATTTTTCAAGCCCTCTTTTCGTTTCAGATCGAGGAAACGTAACAGAATAAATGTAGTCCAGAACCGTGAAGCACGGTGATCAGACCATTTACTTAGAATATATGAACGTCGATGCAGCAGCAGAATTAAGGGAATAAACGAAGGGTTGTTTCACAGGTACAGCCAGTGATGGAGCTAACTTGGCTGAACCTTGAAGACGGCACTATGACTGCTAGCAGTATCTTTACGACACATGGCTAATTGGACTAATTGGATGAGCACTGATGAAACCTTCAACGATATGACAACGATCAAAATAGTTTTTGTTGCAGTTGCAATCGATCTTCCAGCACGTCTGATGCATCCTGAATAATCAAAAAATTCGTCGTTCCCTGAAAGCGCTCAGTAAAGGCACAAACGCGGACTCGTCTTACCACATCACGTACTGATAAAAACGTAAGCATGAACCACTCCTTGTGCATGATTCCTGGTCCTTTCATCATTTCATCGAAAATATCTTCAATCCAATTTTTTCGAATAAACTGATATATCATAATTTTTCAACAATATACTGAGATGATGATTATGATTATGAACCCAACATTATAATTAAAAAAAACATCTGATATTATGCAATCACTTGATCTGAAACTAGATTACACCGCCTTTCGCACCAGACCCTAGCTTCTACATAGTTTAAGGCCATTTAACAGACTGAGTTAAGCAACCTGAACACCTGCAGCGATAAATGCATATCGCATCATTATATTCGCTAGAACAATTAGGGCGACATTTGATGCCCCTTATAGAAGAAAGAAGGAATGTAAAAATTTGTAATCGTTGCTTCCTTAAACTGGCATGACTGGGTCACTTCTGGCACAGTTCTTTTCATGAAATTACTGATGGGACAATGATCTCGATTTTTATGCCATAAACCAGCAATGTTTCTTTTAAAAGGCAAAGTTGATCTGCTATGCGGCAAGTGGTGGTCTCCTGCTTTTTTCCCATAGAATAGAATTCATTCAGCAAACACACAAGTAAGAAAGGCAACTGATCTGAACCGGGGCTAAAACCCGGGATCCTCCAGTTCCGACGCGTTACAAACCCTGATAATGTTCAATCATTTGTTCTATACTATCACACAAAAAATCAAAAACGTGTTTATACTGCGTATAAAGGCAGTATAAACACGTTCTTGGCATTTTTCTAGGCGAAAAAATCTTCCAAAATCTGATTGCTCTAAGTTATATTCTATACAATATACCGGATTATTTGTTTTATAGGGCCAAACTTCTGCTTTTGCTCGATGTGTGCCCAGATAGTGGATATGAATGTAACGAGAGTCGTCATTATATCTACAGTCACTTCATTGGAAGACCGGCCTTTCACTGACTTCAAATTTCAAACATTGGCATTTGATTTTGATGGACTTCAGAAGGTATCAACTAAAGTCAGATAAAATGTTAGTTCAGATTGCATTAGTTTTATTCTTTGCCTTTATGATTTTAAAAGTTGTTTGATAGAAATTTAAAAAAATAAACAAAACAAAGGCTTAAATACTGATCTGTCTCTAATGCATCTTAGTGCTCAAACCATCCTCGAATCAATGAACTTCATTTTGAAGAAGGTACAAGATCAAAATGAGTTTTCGACAATGTGGAGTGTTTTTGTGGAGCAAAAACTGAACAAAACTTCGAAACATACTTGAGTTATGTACAAAAACAGTCATGTGCTGGTGAAAAAGTAGTGGAAAGGCGCAAAAACACGACAAAGGACATGGACAGCGTTAATTAGCAAGACATTAGTCAATTAATGCATTTGGCAGACTCAAGGAGATTACGTAAATTCTTTAAGAGGGCTAAAATTATTTATTATTCATATATTTTATTAAATCAAATCCTGACATTTCAAACCGAGCTGAATTCAGGACAGGGGTACCTTTTCATTAATCTATAGCCAAGTATTCTGCGCCTACATGATCGTTTAAACACGTCCAGCGCATTCTCTTACTTCTAGTAAGAGTCTTCGTGACTGTGGCACACAGTAGAACAGCTGTCAGACATAGTGGACTTCCACTGAAGTATCGACA